TGTCTAGGTGAGACAGCTCATCTCTGCAAGGCAAAACCGACAGTGTGAAATCAACAGAAGAAGAATAATGGCATGGAACACTTTTGGAAGACTTCCGGCATGAAACGGAAAATTTCCATCAGTCTGTGCTCCCAGTGCTGACGTATGGCTGTGAAACGTGAACCTTAGCCTGAAAGTTGCAGATTAAACAACATGACATGGAAAGATGCATGCTGCAGATAAGAAGAAGAGAGAGGAAAACTAGAAAATGGATTGGAACATAAACAAGGGTCTGCAATTAAATTCCCGGAGCAAAGAGGTTAAAGGAGCAGTGGACAGGGCGCGTTGCAAGAACAACCGACCCATCGCTGTACGAGAGAGACTTTTGACTCGCTTGCAAGAGAGAGTGTAAACGGCGCCAAGGAGGTCTTCCAGCTCGATGGCAGGAGAGTTGAGGACTTCGCTGGATCAGGACGGATGAAAATGGAAAAAGACATAAGTTGACGGCAAAGTCTTTGTGAAGTCTTCCTTCAACCGGTCGACAAATGCGAATAATGGTGGTCCAAGGAAGTACACCCGAAACCGCGGATGGCTTCGATTGAGTCAACGAATTCGCGGCATGAAACGCAGTTATTATTTTTGTGGTGCGGTCTTAAACAAAGGGTGCCAATCGTGTCGTCAGTAATAATGGTGCTTCTATGAGAGATCAAGAGAAGCAGTTGCTGGCACAATGTCGTGGTATTGATATTTTATGCGACTAACAAGTTGATCTGCCACAGCCACGTCCGGAGTATCGTAAATGAAATCGATCAGCAACGGAGGTGCAGTCGAGGGCGATTACACTCAAGCCCGTTTCTTAGAAAATGTGTAAGTCGTAATTACCGCAGAATAGTGACAAACACGGGCGACCAACGAAAATGACAACGCGTCGAATAAACGTGATTACTCGAGGCGCAGTTGTGAGCGAGAGCTGGTTTCCAAACATGGAAACTGAAGATTGCGGTTTGTCCGATCTTCAACCCTGAACTAAATTTCCTCCGTTCTCGATGAACAGAGACTCGATGCAAGTGAGCGACGAGAAATGACCAGGCTATTATGAGAAGTAGCATT